ATGTATTTATCCATTTATTTTTCAGGTGAGCGGACAGATGTTGGGTGTGTGGTCCTGTGTTTTGTTGGTGTATATTTAATATACAGTACTTCTAATCACTATTTCAATCTTTCTAATTACTTCTCTCTCTATTTTTCTCTATGTCTCTATTTTGTCTTCACTTAAAAAAAGTCACTGATGATGAAGAAATAAATAAACTAAATAAACTAATATTTGGTTTCGTTTTCTACTGAAGTGACACCAGAAAAAAAAGGTATTCTGATTCTGATTCTAATCAGCCACTGGCAGGGGCTTTAACATTTCTTTTATTCTCAGGTCCCTTTATACATCTGATACAGTTTATAAATCAAAAAACAGGCATTTTTTCAGCTTATTGTTTCAAAACTTAAGCCAATAATTACTTTTGGTCTTTATAAAACTGCTGAAATTTGGGCAGCAGCTGCATTGATACAGTTCAAAATGTATTCAGAAGCCTTTGATTAAAAAAATGCACTGCAGCAATGTCAAATAAAATGTTTAAAGTTTAAACCTCAAAACGAAGTCCTGCTGGCTTTAAAACCCTTTCTGTAACTGAGAGCAAAGAGAAAATGATACTCAAGAGTTTGTTCATTTACAGTAATGTACAACAGAGTAATCAACAGCGAAACATTCGCTGATTGCATGACTGATTATGTCTATTATTTCTGTTACAAAAACTCACAAGAGCAGGGAGAGTTTTCTACATAAACTCTGACCGATCTCTCTGCAGAACTCAGACCTTCACTTTAACACGAGCCACGTGTCATCACATGGTGCTGAGGGAACCCTCAGTCACAAAATATCACACTAATCAGACTCATTTCMCTGTGTAGAGAAAATACTGTAGTCAAGCAGCATGATCATAATTTAAAAAGGGTGTTTGCTTTTACCCAACTCCAGAAAATACTGAGCAATCATTCATAATGTTATTTATTTTAACAAGTATCAAAGTCCCTCAACAGAGGAGTGTTTCTCTAGACTGGAGAAGAACAGGAAACAAGTGAAGCTTAAGGCTTTGGGCACTAGACAGTCACACTAAGAACACAGGTAGTTTTTTTCTGTTCTTGTCCAAGGCAGCGCAGAGTAATGGATATAAGGGGGCAATTTTATTCACCACCAGGTATAATGACACAGCCATGGGATCTTATCCACCAAAGACAATTCTTTGGCCATCCAAACAGCCACCCCAATCATTTGAGGAAATTGTATTTTCAAGCAGAGAACACAGTTTACTCAATGGGCCTCATGCAAGAACCGTTCGTACGCACAGATTTGTTCTTAAGTTGTGCGTACGAGTGATTTAGGAGAATTTGTGGCATTCACCA